GTTCCAGCCCCGCGTCGGGCTCTGTGCTGGCAGCTCAGAGCCTGGAGCCTGTTTCAGATTCTGTGTCTCCCTCTCTCTGACCCTCCCCCGTTCATGCTCTGTCTCTCTCTGTCTCAAAAATAAATAAATGTTAAAAAAAAATTTTTTTTTTAAATAAAAAAAAAAATTTTAAAAAACATTTAAATGATACAGTAAAAAGTTTCCCGGGGTACCCGCCTGGCTCAGTCGGTAGAGCATGGTAGAATATATGACTCTTGATCTCAGGGTCATGAGTTCAGGCCCCATGTTGGGCTTGGAGCCTACTTAAATTTTTAAAAAAGAAAAAGTTTCCAAGAAGTTGTGACATTAAAAGAATAGAAGCCAGCAGCCCGCGTAGAGCCGGAGCACTGAGGAGGTCTCTTATTTCTGGCCTGCGGATGTGAGAGGCGCCACTCAGCCACCCCTGCAGCTCGGGAAGTGACTTCAGAACACCCTGTTCCTGACAGAGGACACACAGATTTTTCCCGTAGGCTGCAGGATTTGCCGTTGCTGGGACACCGCTCTGAGGTGGGAACCAGCCCCACCCACCCTCCCTCTCTTTCCTTGTTCTCTCCCAAGTTTGCCACTGCCCCCAGCCCCTCCTGGACGCCCAGGTCTGGGAGGTCAGTGATGCCTTCAGAGACTTCAGTTCTTTCTCTGTCCCTTTGTCCTTCAAGCTCACTTGAAGCTTTGGGGCTGCAGTGAAACCCTCTAGAATTCTCCTGACTTTGTGGAGCAGGTGGGGGCCTGTCTTGGCCTTCTTTGGTTGCCTAGCAGTCAGAAGCTGCTCAGAGCTCTGTTCCTGGAGACTGGATTCACTCCCTGTCCTTTCCAGACTCCCACCAGCCACTCCGGGTCTCCGTTTATTCACCTGTAAAAAAAATCTAGCTAGAGCAGGAGCAGACAAACAGACCCATGGGCAGAAACAACGCTGCAGAGATGGGCCCCAGCACATAGTGGACTTAAGCATGTGACTCAGGTGGTGTTTCAAACCTGCCTTTGTTCAAAGCCACTTACTGGACAGTGTGGGGGCAACTGGCCAGATCTTGGAAAACAAATCTGAACCTGTTTCATGCACCTTCCATTGATATACTTCTGAAAGAATCAAGACTTTTTTTTTTTTTAAGATCAAGACTTTAACAATAAAAGAGAAAACCAAAAGAAATCTTCAATGAATACCTTTTCTAAATCATCTCAGAGCAGAACAAGCCTTTCTAAGCGTGACAAAAACAAAACAAAAGAAGCCAGCCAGAAACAAAAAATAAAAGTCAGGGGCACCTGGCTGGCTCAGTCAGAAGAGCCCGTGGCTCTTGATTGGGGAGGGGTTGGGGGTGGGTGCTGAGTTCAGGCCCACTTTGGGTGTTGAGATTACAAAATAAACAAACAAACAAACAAACAAACTAAAAAAAAAAACAGTCAAAAAGAAAAGGAGTGATAAATATGACGGCATAAAAATTTAAAACTTCTGTAAGAAAAAATATACGACAGAGTGAAAAGACAACAAACTGGGGTCCAGGGCACGGAGGGCAGGACAAATGAGGCTAAGTGCCTTTTGAATAAGAACTCACCCAGCAGTAGGAAAAATATCATTAACCCAACAGCAAAGCAGACATGAAGAGGCAATTCACAGGAAAGATGAAAGTGACAGGTTTGAGATGATCAGCCTCCCTTGTAATCCCAGCAATGCGGTTTAAAACAAGCGTGTGTTGCTCGCAATTTTCTTTTGCATTAGGCTAGGAAATAAATGCAAGCTACTAACTTTTTTTTCTTTTTAAGTTTACTTGTTTAAATAATCTCCATACCCCACGAGGGGTCTGAATTTACAACTCCAAGAGTCACAGGCTCCACCCACTGAGCCCGCCAGGGGCCCCTGCAGGCTACCAGTTTCTTATCCAATTCTTAAAGACTGTTACCCACAGAAATGAGCAAAATTAGTCTGACCACGGCCAAAACTGCACATGCTCAGTGTCTTTACTAACGCTGATGAAAGCCTCGAGATTTTTTTCTTTCAGGTACTACATTTAGATGTTAAAATGTTGACTCCAGACAATAGGAACGTGGTACAAATAACCCAGAAGGCCCAAACTGGCAGAAGCTGTTATCGGTAAAATTTGATTTAGCCAAAAGCTGATCTGTGAATTAAATATTTGTTACAAAAACTTATGAAAAAGGGGAGTGAGTGTTTAGTGGGCACAGGCTTAATTTATATGTGCTCGACAGGGGCCAGTCCCTGAACCCGTTACAGGGACTCCAGCGCCTCCTCAGCCCCTCTTCCCACCAGACTTTGCAATCATTCGAGAAAGCGCTAAATGGGGGAAGGGACCAGCGCCTGCGGGGACGGCGCAGGACGCGGCGGAAGGACTACAACTCCCAGCAGGCACCGCGCCGCCCAGCCTTGCATTCCCAGAAGGCCGCGGGCGGCGCGCTCAGGGACCGTGCGTTCCCGACATGCCCCGCGACGGCCGCCAACCTCCGGATTTGAATCGAGTCGGCGCTCGGCGGTTGCGGTGTCGGGATGGGCGCTTCGTCGTTGCCCCCGGCCTGGCAGCTCTACCTCAAGGACCACCGCATCTCTACGTTCAAGAACTGGCCGTTCTTGGAGGGCTGCGCCTGCACCCCGGAGCGGGTGAGACCGCACGGCCCCCCGCCGGCCCCA